TGACTTTATGGAGCTGTTTGAACAGGCCAGAAGGTTGGTGAGGAGAACGAGCGCGTCGCTTTATGCTAACCATGGATTCTGCAAGTTTGTGGAGTGTGAGGCTCTGCTGCTGAGGAAATATATCGAGGAAAGGCCCGGGAAGGCTCGTGAGATGCGCAACAAGATCACAAAAGTAAGGGCTTGGAGGTGGGCTCTGGAAATTTCCTCTGTCTCAAGTGTCCCTGCTCCTGCCAACCTAGCAGTTTGAAAGCATGTCAAAGTGCAAGTAGATAAACAGGTACCTCTCCGGTGGGAAGGTAAACAGTGTTTCCGTGCGCTGCTCTGGTTCGCCAGAAGCGGCTTAGTCATGCTGGCCACATGACCCGGAAGCTGTACTCCGGCTCCCTCGGCCAATAAGGCGAGATGAGCGTCGCAACCCCAGAGTCGGCCACCACTGGACCTAATGGTCAGGGGTCCCTTTACCTTTACAGTACGCCAAAAGATAGGAGTCACAGCACGTATTGTCTCCCTTAGCCTCTTGAGACTACACTTTTGCAACAAGATAATAGCCACCAAATAGCTGATTCTGGGATGGGCTATATTGCTTCTCCTTGGGTCTTTTTGCTCCTTGCCATACTGATCTAAGCTGAGGTTTATTGCCTGAACTGTGACCTGCGGTTACGCTATCTCCTTGCTAACCCTGAGCTGCATCCAAGAACAAACCTTGGCTACAGTTTGTCTTTAGTGAGGTGAGGGCTTCATCGCAAGCCACGGTTTAGACAGCAGTTTGGCTCCCTGTCTTGTGCGAACTAAAAAGGGAGAAGTTGTGTTTTGTCTTTGCTTCCCAACCTTCTTCTCCTATTCAACCTCACCGTCCTTCTGACTCTGCCTGGCATGATTCTCCTATTGCTCCCATTAGAATTTGGAACAAGCAATTGCGCAGTGCTCCACAAGCCCCGTCTACTATTCCAGGGTTTACCATATGAAGGCCTACGTCCAACTCATGCTTGGGCAGGACGAAAACAGCCAAAGCTTCCTTGAGAAGGCATTCGAGGACAGCGAGATGTATGGAAACCATTTGGAGCAATCCTGGCTGGAAATTACCAAGGTAAAGTCTTGAGATCGCCAGTCAGTAAAAAATATTTCTCCAGGGACAATGGACGATGGACCAGGCAGAGGGCCTTCTCGGTAGTGGCGCCCGCCCTGTGGAATGCCCTCCCTTCAGATGTCAAGGAGATAAACAACTATCTGACTTTTAGAAGACATCTGAAGGCAGCCCTGTTTAGAGACGTTTTTAAGAATGTTTTCATTATGTTTTTAGACATGTGGTAAGCCGCCCAAAGTGGCCGGTAAAGCCAGCCAGATGGGTGGGGTATAAATAATAAAATTATTATTATTATTATTATTATTATTATTATTATTATTTGTGATGCCCAAGAATAACATGGTGGTATGTAACAGATTGGGAGTAAATGAAATAGGGGATATAGATATAGATATAGACATAGATATAGATATAAATGGGACAAGCCTGAGATTGGACCAATATTCCTGGGAGACGACTAGATACAGAATGGCATGGCTGGTGTGCAATTTTGACTGATCTGTATTTCTTAATAAAAAGGCAACAACTTTAAAAAACCTCAATTGCACACGATTAAACATCAGAGTGGCTTCATATCTTGTGCAGCCTGCTCTTTTCCATGTGGTACGCTCGGAACCTTTTTGTCAGCCAGAACTCAGTCCCAGCAAGGAAGGAGTTCATGGTGAGTTCTGACACCTCTTTCCCTAGAAAAATAGCACTGGCTATGTTCCTTGTCAATTCCCACCAAGCAGAGTGGTGTGCTGGCCAGAAAGTGGCTCTTTCACAACTGTGTCACGATTCTAGGGTGCAGAGATAGTACCAGGCAAAAGATGAATGGATTCCTCTCCACTCCTCTCTCTCTATCCCAAATGGACTCTCTCAAGTAACATTCTGAGCAGTTCATGTTTCCTTATTTCTCCTAGGAGTGGTGGTTCACTGGAAAAAGTCCCATGGAAGACTACTGGTTAAAGACGGCTCCTGATTTTCCCATATGGGAAGTAGGAATGGCAGAGAAAGACGTGGGAGCCTTCCATAAAAACAAGTATCTGTTGAATGTGCCAGAACTGGACATAGACAATCCATTCCCAGACTCAGTGAGTGAGGATGAGATAAGCTGAGAAAATTCTCAAGTTCACCAACTCTCTTCAGCAAATCCTTTCTTCCTTTGCTAAACTCTAATATTTAGCCTGTCCGTCCCATTTCCTCGTCACTTTATCTTTTCAAATAGATAGCATCCCATAAAACCTTGCAACAGAACACTGAAATTCAGCTTCTTCAATGTGGATTTCAGTAAAACTTTGAAATGAGACGATATCTATTTAAGCATATTTTCATGCTTTCATTCCACAAAACCCAAAACCTACATGTACTGCTTGCCTTTGGCTGAGGGTGCTTCTGAACAAACTGATTGTTCAGATTCCTTTTTTTCAGTCCTGCAGATTTTTTCAGGTATACAGGGCCGAGGCCCATTTAAGGCTTTAAAGGTCAGCACCAACACTTTGAATTGTGCTCGGGATCGTACTGGAAGCCAATGAAGATCTTTCAGGACCGGTGTTATATGGTCCCGGTGGCCAGTCCTAGTCACCAGTCTAGCTGCCGCATTTTGGATTAGTTGCAGTTTCCAAGTGACCTTCAAAGGTAGCCCCACGTAGAGCGCATTGCAGTAGTCCAAGCAGAAGATAACCAAAGCATGTACCACTCTTGCGAGACAGTCTGCGGGCAGGCAGGGTCTCAGCCTGCGTACCAGATGGAGCTGGTAGACAGCTACCCTGGACACAGAATTGACCTGCACCTCCATGGACAACTGTGAGTCCAAAATGACTCCCAGGCTGCACACCTGGTCTTTCAGGGACACAGTTACCCCATTCAGGATCAGGGAGTTCCCCACACCCTGTCCCCCAAGAAAAGTACTTCTGTCTTGTCAGGATTCAACCTTAATTTGTTCGCCGCCATCCATCCTCCAACTGCCTCCTGACAAGACATATGCAAGACATATGAAACAGGGTGTTGTTCCCTGTGGCTCCAAATCTTATATTGGAGTGGCACCAGAAGAAGTCATAGAGATTCCCCCAAGACGAACTGGCTCTGAGTGGATTCTTTGGCGATCACTCGTAGCTGAGTAAGATCATCTTCCATGAACATAACAACGAGTCTGTAAGTGACTGTGGAGGCCAGTTCTGGATCAACACATCCTTCCACAGTGGGGTTTCTGGGCGGGAGTTGATCAAGGTGAGGGTTTGCTAAGCGTGCCTTCCTCTTAGCACGTTTCTCCCTTTCATCCGGAGTTTGAGCGTTTTCAAAGTCCACAACACCTTTGGTAAAGGCTGTTCTCCAACTGGAGCGCTCGCAGGCCAGTGTTTCCCAGTTGTCAGTGTTTTTATATATTTTTAAAGATTTGCCTTGAGAGATCTTTAAACCTCTTTTGTTGACCACCAGCATTACGCTTTCCATTTTTAAGTTCAGAATAGAGTAGTTGCTTTGGAAGACGATAACCAGGCATCTGCACAACATGACCAGTCCAACGAAGTTGATGTTGAAGAATCATTGCTTCGAAACTGATCTTTGCTTCTTCCAGTACACTGGCATTAGTTTGCCTGTCTTCCCAAATTCAAAGTGGATAGACACTGGAAAAATACAACAGCGACACCCTGTGGCTGTAGCATCTTAAATCTAGCCTTGTTTTGGAATATTTCCCCCAGGTAAATAGACAGGGAGTCAGCATAGTGTGGCGCTCAGTGTGTTGGACTGGGACTTGGGGAAAAGGTAAAGGTAAAGGTACCCCTGCCCGTACGGGCCAGTCTTGACAGACTCTAGGGTTGTGCGCTCATCTCACTCTAGATGCCGGGAGCCAGCGCTGTCCGCAGACACTTCTGGGTCACGTGGCCAGCGTGACGAAGCTGCTCTGGCGAACCGGCACCAGAGCAGCACACGGAAACGCCGTTTACCTTCCCGCTATAAAGCGGTACCTATTTATCTACTTGCACTTAAGGGTGCTTTCGAACTGCTAGGTGGGCAGGAGCTGGGACCGAACGACGGGAGCTCACCCCGCCGCGGGGATTCGAACCGCCGACCATACGATCGGCAAGTCCTAGGCGCTGAGGTTTTACCCACAGCGCCACCCTGGGGACTTGGGGAAACCAGGGCTCAAATCCCCGCTTGGCCATGAAGCTCACTTGGCGACTTTGGGCCAGTCACCCCCTCTCAGCCTAATCTACATCTCAGGGTTGTTGTGGGAATTAAATAAGGAAGGGGAGAAAGCCCCCCCCCCAAAAAAAACACCACCCCAGACAGGAGGTGGGAAAGGCATTCCCAGGGTTAACAGTCACAGTTACAGCAACTATTATATTCATATAGAGTGGTGCCTCGCAAGACGAAAATAATCCGTTCCGCGAGTCTCTTCGTCTAACAGTTTTTTCGTCTTGCGAAGCAACCCTATTAGCGGCTTAGCGGCTTAGCGGTTTAGCGGCTATTAAAGGCTTAGCGGCTTAGCGGCTAAAAGGCTATTAGCGGCTTAGCGGCTTAGAAAAAGGGGGGGAAGTGAAAAAAATCGCAAGACTCGCAAGACGTTTTCGTCTTGCAAAGCAAACCCATAGGGAAATTCGTCTTGCGAAGCGCATCGAAAAATGGAAAACCCTTTCGTCCAGCGGGTTTTTCGTCTTGCGAGGCATTTGTCTTGCGGGGCACCACTGTGAAAATCAGAGGAGATCACAAGAGACTAGGGCCCTGTGGGAGTTGACATCTTTCCGCAGGGCCTGCAAGACAGAGCTATTCCACCAGGCCTTTGGCCAGGGCACAGCCTTTGGCAATCCTCACAGAACTCTAGCCCAATAGTTGCCATTAATTTGATTTGAACAGATTTGGTAATGAAATGATTTTAGAATGTTGTATTATTTTACTGTTGTTAGCCGCTATGAGCCTGGCTTTGGCTGGGGAAGGCGGGATATAAATAAAATTTTATTTTTATTGTTATTATTACTCCCCTATCTGACTTACAGAAGACATCAGAAGGCAACTCTGTATGGGGAAATTTTTAATGTCTAATGTTTTACAATTTCTTATGTGTTGTAAGTTCCCCAAGGTTGCTCAGCAGGGTATAAATAATAAAATTATTACTAATTTATGTTGTTGTTGTTGTTCCCCGCGAGGTGGAAGATAAAATAAATGAAAACAGGAAGGGAATTCAGTGTTCAGAGCACGGCTCTTTCCCCTTTGACCTTTTCGTCACTCTACTCCGTGAGTTCCCGCCGCCATGACACCAGAGGCAAGAGAGGCAAAAAAAACCCCCCTCCTGGCAGCTGAGTAGAATAAACAGAGCTCCGTCAGGAGAATAAAGAGCGGAGCAATTTTCCCACCTCCTTCCCCCCCTTTGTCTCGTAACTTCCACTCTTTTTAACTTGTGTTTTTTTAAAAAAACTTTTTAAATCTGAGGGCGGTCAACAGAAATCCTGACACGTGTTACCTTCAAGGACCGAATGGGGGGGGCGTGGAGGAGAGAAGGTAAGCTTGAAAACAAAAGGCTTCTCGGCAGCCGATTGGGCGTGACGACAAGGGCAAGACGCAAACGCACGCACGCACGCGCGAGCGAGGGAAGGAGCGGAACGACGCGAGCCGGGCCGCTGATTGGGCGTGACGTCATCCGAGTCGCCGGGCTGGTGTTTGTGCGCGAGGCGTTACCCGCCAAATTCAAACCGCCGAAGAGGAGGCGTCGGCTCGTCCGGGCTTGAAGAAGGGAGGCTTCAGCGCCGAGGAGGCCGCGCTTCCCGAGAGAGGAACTTCCGCTGCTCGGTTGCGGCAAACAGACAGGCGAGGATAAAACGGCGACTTCATTGGCCTCCGGGTAGGAATGTTTTTCGGCAGGAGCCAGAAAGAGCCCCTCTCCCCCCAAAACATGGATTATTATTAGTAGTAGTAGTATTATTGTTATTGTTATAGCTCCCCACCGCGAACATAGTTTATTGCTGCTGCTGCTGCTGTTGTTGTTATATTGGGTTTATTATTAATACTATTATTTTATTTTGCTTCTTATTATTCCAGTGAAGCTTTTTTTTCTTTTTTAAGTGTTTAATGGTGTTACAGTGCTGCTATGAAGCAGAACCATAGGCTAACATTTACACACAATTCCACTGCACTGCTTAAATGGGATTACCTTTTTTTTTGCTTTTTGTTGAACATGGTTTCTTATTCTGGTGAATCCTTTCTTTTCCTTTGTTAAGTATTTAATGGTGTTAAAGTGCTGCTATGAAACAGAACCATAGGCTAACATTTAAACAAAATTCCACGTCACTGCTAAATGAGGTTGCCTTGGTTTTTTTGTCGCCCAGCCCTATTGAAAGAATAATAAAAATAAAAATCTACAGGATTGAAATTAACAACCCCATAATTATAATTGGCAATGAGTTATGAATTTTATAAGCATTTCTCTCTCGCTTCCCCCCTCCCTTAGTAATTATGGGGTAGGCAAATTACTTAGTCTCAAGCAAGTATCGTTAATGAGGTCCCTAAAAAAAGTTTAAACTTGATAAAGGACCAATAATAAAAATCCTTGTAGTTAAAAACTTAAAAGGGTAAGCAAAGAAGACCTCAAATTGCAGGTGAAACATAATGGCGAAACTTACCAGAAAAATAAGAAATGAAGATAAACTTTTTATAAAAGGATGGAAATGGTTTATAGAATGTTTACAGATAAATTGTAAACAGATAAGAACATTGGCAGGATTATTGTAATAACCTGAAGTATCATAAGAGTATATATTTAAAGTAGATGGATAAATAAACAGATTAAGTTAATAGATGGATATGCAGAAGATATTAAAAATAAATTTAAGGAACTGCAGAAAGAGGGGGAAGGAAGTCAAGTTTTGAAATGTTAAAATGACTGTGAAATTATTGAAATGTATAAACCTGAGAATCATAAACAAATTATTATTATTAGTTAAATTCACAGGCAGCTCTCGGTCCCAACATCTCAGCATAAAAATTCAGGAAATGAAAAGTAAAGAAACGCACAACACTAGCGAAATAAGCAGGTGGGAGGGGAACCTATAACGCTCCCCCCCCCATACACACAAAATAGCTCCCACTTCCAAGAACCCCTGAAATTAAAAATAAGCTATCACCTGTTTGGTATCAACCCCTTTGCACGCACACATTTCACAAAGGTTGGTGAGAGAATTTGGGCAGGGACTGCAGAAACTGGTTGTTGATTCCTCCCACCTCCCCACCTGGCAGTGGTTTAAAAGTTGTACTTGACTTTTTCTTTTTAGGGCAGACCGCCTTACAAAATGGATAACTGCACCTTTCCGAGGTACAGTGAGAATGACATCATCACGCACATCCGCAGCTGCTTGCTCACAGCAAACGAGGCCAAAACCTTCTCCAAGGGTGACTTATTTCCAAACGTCAAGGTAAGTGCTGTAAGAGAGTGGATTTACGGCACAGAATCAAAGTGCAGCACTGTGGTGGGTAAAATATGCATTTGATTTTTCCCTGTGTACAGAGCCAGAATGAGTGAATTTAGCCAAAGTAGCTGTTTGCATGTAAATATGTCGCTTTAACTCAGCGCTATGGTAGCGTAGCATATGACTGTATGGCAAAACAGACCCAGCTCAGGGGGTGGAATTGTAGAATTGTAGAGTTGGAACTGACTGCGAGAGTCATCTTTGTCCAACCCCCTGCAATGCAGGAATCTCAACTAAAGCAGCCGTGGCAGGTGGCCACCCACCCTCTGCTTAAGAGCCTCCAAGGAAGGAGTTAAGCAACTTCTTAAAGAGTCCATTCCTCTGTTGAATAGCTCTTATTTTCTGAAAGACCTCCCTGATGTTTAGTTGGAATCTCCTTTCTTGTTACTTGAATCTCTTTGTTTGTGTTCTAGCCTCTGTATCAGGAAAAAAATAAGCTTGCTCCATCTTCCATATGGCTAGTGTAATATCAATGAGATGCAGCAAGTATTGGACTGGCACCCACAAAGCCGCTTCCCACGCTTCAGGGAGGAGTTTCGAAGCATTTTGTTCTGTGTTTGTTTAACCATAGCTTGTTGCATCATCTGGACCAACAAACTGGTTAATGTTAATACTTGCTACTTGAAAACCAACCAGCGTCAGACTGTGGATTACCAAGCTGACTTCCAACTAGCCGTAGTTAAGATCTGTGGCTGTTTTTATAATTTCTTATGTTCTATTTTTGTACTGGTCATGAGGGTGAAGTGTGAACCTGAGGCTTCCTGTAGCTCATTCCCCATGGTTTAGTGTGGCATTCAAATGTTGCTATTGTGCAGAAACATACTATTATTAATATATGCATTTGTTTAAAAAATTGCCTCTGGCAGTGGAAAGTGAAATAAATAAAATCTAAACTTAGTCTGGTTTCCCATGGCAAATAAAATTTCGCCTCTTCTTAGCCTGAAGTGCTGCAGATGATCTTTATGAGAGCCTTGCAAGTTGTGTATGGAATCCGCCTGGAACACTTTTATATGGTAAGTATATAAACAAGACATGGGGGAAAAGTGCAATGAATCCAGAGTATAATGGAACCGTGGTTATTTTTAGTGGAGAGTTTGGGGCACCTTAAAAAACAACAAATTTATTTGCTATATTTGCCAGTCGTGGTAAACTATAAATCATTGTTCAGCACTCACAAGCAAATTATGCCCATTTAGCCTCTCCTTTTTCACGTTGGAGGAAAAGCAAGCCACAATCTGTGACATAGTGTTGCATCCAAACCAGGGATCATTGTTTATTGGGATCCACACTAGGGCTTTCTGTGTTGTGTGAGTGCAGCCATTGTTTGGCTTAGGCTGCAAGAAATAACATTAGGCCTTAAGGAGTCTTCAACATTCTTAGCCTATTACAGCAAACATGGCTTCCCCACTCAGAACAGTCAGTCATTTTCATAACGCAGGAGATAATGCTAATTTGAAGCTCTTGTGTATTTATGCAGAGTTATAGCAGACACGGGTTGCGCTGTGGTCTAAACCACTGAGCCTAGGGCTTGCCGATTGGAAGGTTGGCAGTTCAAATCCCTGCGACGGGGTGAGCTCCCAGCTCCTGCCAACCTATCAGTTTGAAAGCACGTCAAAGTGCAAGTAGATAAACAGGTACTGCTCCGGTGGGAAGGTAAACGACATTTCCGTGCGCTGCTCTGGTTTTGCCAGAAGCGGCTTAGTTTTGTGCGCCTTGGTGCCATGAACATCAGGACATCTCAGTAGACCAAAACCACAGGCTATATTTTATGGGTTAAAATTGGTCCACAACTTTATTGATTGCAAATGTCAGTGAGTTTGGCATGGCACTGGGTCAGTCACCATCCAGCAGGTGGGCTGGAGGGATACGAGGAGTCAAGGCTGAATCAAGAATTGACCCATGGCATACATCAAATGGATGCAACCCCCACAGTCTTGCTGCGTTGTGTAGTGCTGTGGCCCTCAGCCCCTGCCTGGGCTTATGGACAGAAGCCCCTTCCTTGGGATTCCTTTAATGGGATACCGCACCACCCCAGAGGGGGAAGCAGAGGCTCCCAGTTCCCCCTTTGCCAACAACTAGGAACCAACCCAAATGCCATATCTTCCAGTGTTGTGACGATGGCTGTAAGGAAGGCAAAACCCAATTTGTCTGATGGGAGAAATTCCTGCCTGGACCCAAATACGGTGACAGTAATGACTGCAGCAAAGTCCATAAAGGTAACAAGGCAATTGAAAAACAGAACGTTGTAAACCATGAATATAGGTCTTGAGCGAAGGCCATTCTGGCTTTTAAATGCTGGGAGTCCTAAAGACTCCTGAGAATCAGCCTCAGGCCCACATGCTCTGTCTGCACATGATTGGACAAATCACAGGCAGGAATTCTGAATTCCAGCAGCCACCAGGAGAGGGGAATTTGTCTCCTGTTGGTCACCGGAAGCAAGACCCACAGTGGTATGGCAGATGGTGGCAGTAAAAGCACTGAGCCGCAAATGCTGTGTTACCCCTGGAGGGGGTGAGCAGATAATAATACTACAAAAAGAAATTTTTCAGATTTGTCTGAAGAATTAAGTAAAGAAATTGCATCTCTTTACTGATTCTGTTTACTGATTCCTAGATGCCAGTGTCCTTTGAAACTCCATATCCCCAGATTTTTGATGGCTTCCTGCCAATAGCGAATCTCTTTACTAACATGTGAGTATGCTGAAATCACATTCTGTAAACTAATTTTTATCCTTTGAAATGGATCTGCGAATGTATTTTGTATGGTTTGATTCAATTTTTTTCATTGTGTTCATCTTTTATTCTAGTAAGACATTAAATGTTGCAGGTGTTGTGAGTTCAGGTATAGATATTGTGGCTGTGCCTGGGTTATGGAGCTGTTCCAGCAGGCTGTGGCTGTTGAGTTTTTAATAGCTTAATGATCCTTCGTCCTCAGTGTGTTTTTAATCTGTTGTGCCCATCTCTTGCTTTTATTGCACTGTTTTCATGACTCATTTTTGTAATTTTAAATTTTCTTGAAGCTACACTGGGCATTGTAATAGTGAGGGAAGAGCAGGGCATACATTTTCTCAAATACATAAATCTTGTGTAATGGCTGAACTTGTTCTGCTAAATTTGCAAGCTGAGTTCAAAGTTCTACTCAGCCAGGCTTTGCACCACAGCTTTTTCAAAGTGCTGTGTCACATGCAGTGTGTTTCATAGAGTTAAGCACATGTTTCCGCTAGATATCTTTATTTAAAAACCAACAACAAAGGTTAATTCGGATTCAAAGCAGAGCGCTAAGATAAAATCTGCAATCCTAAACACGTTTACTAGGGAGTAACCCCATGAAAAGATCTGTCAGGTTCTAATCGTTTGCCCTAATAATAAGTTTATAAGTATATGTAGAGTCTATTTTTAAAATGCTTAATGTTTTGTACAATTGACAGGGAACGCTTTTTCCCGCTCTGCCGTGTCAACGACTTCCAGATTGCTGACCTTCTAAATCCAAGTAAGCTTTTAATGTCTCTTGTGTGTTCTAATGTGTTGCGTCTTGGACAATTCTCGGTTTGATCTTGAGGGAATTGCCACCGAGGGCTCATTGGTTGCAGTTTGGATGGGATTCTGTTTTGCAGTCGTGGTGTTCCCCACAGCAAGGGTTCGTCTGGGGGAATGTGTTGTGCAGTCAGGGATTTTTATTGCACGACTGCCTGTCCTACAGTTTGTTAGGACTGCCGAGGCCCAGGTTCAAATGAGTGCAGGATAGTGTGCACCCCGAAAATGATCTCTTTCAGCTTTTGCCTTCTGGAAGAAGGTACAGGGTTATAAAGACTAGGACTAGCTGCCTGAGAAACAGTTTCTATTCAAATGCGATTTTGGTTTTAAACGCAGTGTAAGGTAGTCTCTATGGGAGTATATTGTATTTAATTATGGGGTATCAGAGTTTTTAGAGGGCTAACCAGGCTGGGATAGCAGACTTGTTGGTTTCTGAATGTCTGATGTAGATTTTCAATTTCGTCGTTCAGTATGGGACAATGACAATAAAGATTATCGTATCGCTGGTTAAGCTGTAAAGATCACGGGGGGGGGGGACCTTGAGCCAGTCCGGTCTTCAGGTTACAATTGTTGCCGTCACAGGGTAGAATTGCAGCCAAGCGGAAGGCGCATCGTGCTACAGGAGGAGGAAACAAGTCCTGAACTTTATTACATTAACATTTTATCATCAAAAACGGATAAGAGACATGCCTTAGCGTCCAAGGCGACCTGTCTGCCAACAATAATACCAATTTCCATAGCAACCCACTTCTAGAAATTGTGTACGTGTACGGCATATATACATCCCCCCATGTATGCCAATATGTTCCTCTCATCTTACGACCCCGCCGGCGTAAAAACTGAAGTTTTAATTAATTCATTTTCCTGGTGGATCTTTACGACAGCCCTGTAAATATTGTTTTGTTAGTTACTGTGTTACGTGTTTTTGTGTTCATACTGCAAACCACCCTGTGATCCTCAGATGAAAAGCAGTATAGATATTTAATACATAAATGAGCCCATAAGAGTCACTAGCTTGCACATTTTGTTAGTAATTTAGCTGTAATTAAGGTTCGTTCTTGGTTTACAATTCATGATTTGTCTGGAGGGGGCAATCTATGAACCCAGGTTTGGAAGACACACTGTGCCAAACTGTGGCTTAGCCCTAGTAGCACTGCAGCAGGAGATGGGGCAGGGGGCAGAATGCTTAGGTGCCGTTCTTATTTCTGGGAACTTGTGCATTTGTGTAAAGCCCTGGTTTTGGCTTGGAGTTAAGTGCAAAAAGAGCCATATTGTTTATTGCAGAGATTGATCAGGATCTACTAGTGTTGATCTCTGGGTGATTTTCAGTAGGTTAGCAAGATTGCATGATAATAGTTAAAACTGACCCACCCCCCACAATTTTAGGTTGTTGAATTGGGATACTGGGAGCGGCGGGAGTTGTGATGAATTTTTGTGTGAAAGTTCAGTTTTCCAGTTCTTATTGCAGTTTCCAACAACAGCATTAGGATAAAGTCTGCAAAAACAATAGCAGAACTACATGTACAGTTCCTGAAAATATTCCATTAGACATGCTGTGGCCAGCTCAAAGGGGATCTCTTTTCTGAAACTATACAATTAACTCCCTTGATTGTACCCTGCACACGATATTCATGGCTTCCAGAGTTTCTACGTATCATTTGTATGTGGTAGATTCCATCTATTGTGGGTTTAAACTTCAGGCGGCTTTTTGAATTTGAAAAATTGTATGCCCCATATGTCTTACAAAAGCATTTCCTTTTATGTTGCTCTTCCAGAAGCCAAGAGGACAGCTCGTTTTTTGAGTGGCCTCATTAACTTCCTTTTCTTCCGTGACTCGCGTCGTGAGGTCTACCTGGAAATCCAGAGCACGTTTGTAAGATTAATTACAGGGTTTGGGGTTTCTAGACTTTACATGTCGCAAAACAAAGATCACTCCATAGTATCATTTCATAGAATCGTAGACTAGTACTGTCAAAATGAAGCTGTGGGCAATAGGATATATGCAGTATTTCAGTTTCTTTTGAATAAAAGTCAGTTTGGCAGAAAGTGGGACAGCAGGAGGCAAGATAAAAATATCCCAGTTTAGGAAGTTGATCCTACTTCCTTTAGTTTGCCTAACTCCCTACCAGCTCTTTGTTCTACAGGACACCTCAAATCTTCCTTTCAACAGCAACAATGAGAAATAGTGGGTGGTGGAGGCATGGGTTTCAACGAAAGGCAGGTCAAGGCGGGGGGAAGAAGATTCCGACAGAGAGAGGAGGGGTAATAGGTGACAGCAGAAGGGGACTTCAGAGGCAAAGTTTAGGGATTTGGTGGTTGTGGGGTAGAAAGCCAAGGGGGATATAGGATTGCCAGGGGGGTTCTTGTTCTTTTGGAATGCCACCTATTTATTGCCAGAACTAAGAGAAAAACCCACACCTAATGAAATTATTTCCCTTTAAACAACCTTTTAGTTAAGATACAGGACTCTAGATATAAAGACTAACAAGTGTGGCAAAACCCAAAAGGCAGTGAGGGAAGGATATGGGGATCTGAATTTCACAGGCTGATGATTAACCAGTTGGTTCTCTCTCAGAACAGGAGGAGGAGATCCAATGTGAGTTCTCACATCAGTCACTGGAGACAGGGCTTAGTAGAATTGGTAGTAGGCCTGGGCGATGTATCGGTGCAGACTGATAAGGGGCAGACTGATGGCAGCTTCACCTGGCGGCATATTGCAGGTGAAACTGACACTGCTCCTGAGTCCCTCTGCTACCAGCGCTGCTTTCAACATCGGGCTGCTGGTAGCAGAGGGACTCGGCGGTGGTTTCACCTGCAATGTACCGCTGGGGGTACAATGTACACGCAAGCTGGAGAGGCACGGGGCTCGCTCAGCTGGGGGGCAGGAACCCTCCCTCTCCCCAGTCGTGCCTTGCAAACAAGCTGCGTTCTTCCAGTGGCGAGGTGCTGGGGTGAAAAGTGCCTTGGCTTCCGTGGTGAGGACTGAGGCAGTTTCACCCCGCACCTCGCAAGCCGGGGCCAATGCAGCTTGTTGTTTCAACATTGCAACATATTGCCAAACCACAATCTTTGGCTGGTGATGCATCCCGATGTTGAAAACCAGACACCCCCCAGCTCTAGTTGGCAGCAGAAGTTTCTTCCCAGTTCTTGTACCTAGAGGTACCGTACTGCAGGGCCTTTCATTTACTACTTCTTCCGTGTGCTCCTGCTAAATATACCTACCAGGATGTGGTCTGATGGGGCTGAAGGGCCACTTTGCTGAAGTGAAGCGGGTCTGGGTGTTGGGATACTGCCGGGAAGACGGGGGCATCAGGCAGGCCCCCAGCTGGCTCCAACCACCGGCCGGCAGCCGGTCTCCCTTGGAACAGCATCAAACAGCGACACGAGCCTCAGATACGATTAGAGACCCGTGCACGCTCTGTCAGCAGAGTGTGTAAATCATCTCACAGCAGAAGAGGTGGACAGAGAGATATGCAAGCATAATGTACAGCATTTTATTCAGCATAGGAAAACGTGTCTGCTTCCCTTCGTCTCCATCAAAACAGCAGTAACACAAAAGCTATATACAAACGGAGGTTCCCAGCGAGTGCTGGAAGTAAACAGGCATGTGACACACACACATCATGCCTGTACCCTTTTAAGGTGGAATGGAACTATATCCTAACATCCTCCCCCTTTCCATGTAACCTGTAGTACCTGTGGTTCAACCCAATTGTAACCTCTGTACATAAAGCTTAAGTTGTTCTCTGTCAACAACCTTAGACAACAGATCTGCAGGAATTTCATTTCCTGGCATGTAGGACACCTGAATGAGTCCTTTCTGAATATACTCTCTTGCACGATGTGACTTTATCTGCAAGTATTTGGTTATTTGCTTGCAACTCTGAGTTCAGCAAAGCCAAACAGGATCTATTGTCTTGATACACCTGTATAGGACATTTCACAGAAACCTTGATGTCCTGAAACAGTTGCGTCAACCATTCACAATCCATGAGTGAAAATGGCAGGGCATTGAGCTCTGCTTCACAGGAACGTAGGCTTACTGTCGTCTGCTTTTTGCACAACCAGTCAAACAGACAGTGGTTGTACATGTAGCATACTCCAGAAGTGCTTGTACTATCCGTGGTGTCAATTCCAAAACTAGCATCTGCAAAGATTTCAAGACCTCCAGTCTTCTGACTGGTGAACCTCAGCCTGTAGTGCAAAGTCCCCTTCAAATAGCACTTCAGAGCTTTCCAATCCTGAACAGTAGGATTGTTGGCATGTCTGCTAAGCTGGTTAGTGCCTACAGCTATGTCAGGTCTTGAACATCTATGCAGTTGGTGCCCGGGTACATGAATGTCTGGGAACTCCTTGCAGGCCACCTTGGGTCCCATGGGGGAAGAAAGGCAGTATATAAATGTAAGAAAGTGAACAAATCTTTCCCCCAGCTGCCTTGCCTTCAGACAATCAGTCCTCTTACCATTAGGGTGAAGGAATAATGTGTGGTAAGTTTGGATTTCCAATCTGCTCTGGGGGCTGGAACACCTTACTTTTGTAGCAGCAGCAGTGACTCTCCCTCTTTGGAAAGTGCTCCTATTTCCACTGTGGGAGTTAGGAAGAGCCACTCATGGTTTTGACTCCCCCAGCAAGATAGGCCTCTAGGTTAATGAACCTTGCAGACAGTCATCACTCTGTATGACATTCAACTGTCTTCAGAAAGTCGTGGAATCTTGAGTCTATAAAGTACAGTACTATAGGCTAAAAACAGTCACTGCTTCAGTGGGACCTAAGCATAGGCCCAGTTCTCTGGCCTGTAAGATCAAACTGTTTTGTAGACCCAAGTGTACATTTTGGTTTGCATGCAATGTAAACTGTTCTCTTTTTGCAGAAATCAGCTGTGGAAAAAGAGCAACGACTTCAAACAGCAATTCAGGAGGCAACATTGAAGTTGGAGAAACTTGAGTAAGTCAACTAAGGGTTGGATACCTCACTTTAAAGCAGGGGTCAGCCAACTTTTTCAGCAGGGGGCCGGTCCACTGTCCCTCAAACCTTGTGTGGGGCCGGACTATATTTTGAAAAAAAGAATGAATGAATTCCTATGCCCCACAAATAACTCAGAGATGCATTTTAAATAAAAGCACACATTCTACTCATGTAAAACCACCAGGCAGGCCCCACAAATAGCCCAGAGATGCATTTTAAATAAAAGGACACATTCTACTCATGTAAAAACATGCTGATTCCCAGACAGTCCATGGGCCGGATTTAGAAGGTGATTGCTTCAGGATGAGAACAGAAATCGTGCTCCGGCGGCGCGGCAGCAGCTGGAAGCCCCATTAGCTAAAGTGGTGCTTCAGGTTAAGTACAGTTTCAGGTTAAGTACGGACCTCCGGAACGAATTAAGTACTTAACCCGAGGTACCACTGTATAGGGAATGGGCATGGAAAAGCTCAGCTGCATGCAGAGCCTTTGGCGGATACCACCCCTAAGATTGTAAGGCAATTGCATTAAAGTGAGCTTTTGAACTAAGTGAAAACAAGTAGGTCTTTGTGAACATACACGGCAAGTACAAATACCCTTTTTCTGTATGTGCAGTACTGTTCCTGCAGATCAAGAGGCAGAGTTCAAGGAGCTCTCTCAGGATATTCAAGAGCTGGAGCAAAAACTGAACCATGAATATCGGCAGAAAACGGTGTGTGTTCTTTCTTACAGAAGTCTGCTGGGAATCCAAAGTTGCTTTGCTATTAAAATTTGCTATTAAGTAATACTCGTGGGTTTTGTTCAGTTTTTGTCTTTGCTGGAGAGCGCTGAACACCTTGTCCTTTAAATTTTTCTTGTTGCCATTTGCAGAACATTAAAGTCAATGGCATGAGTGGTTGCCTCTCTTTTTGGGGGTGCATTTGGAATTTTAAGATGATGAGCACCAGTCACAAAATGGCTGTTGTTAGGGGTGCGGCTCAGCAAAATGGTTTCCACCTCCAAAATAACCGAAAAGGAGATGGGAACATAAAGTAAAGGTAAAGGCACCCCTGCCCGTACGGGCCAGTCGTGTCCGACTCTAGGGTTGTGCGCTCATCTCACTCTAGATGCCGGGAGCCAGCGCTGTCCGCAGACACTTCCGTGTCACGTGGCCAGCGTGACGAAGCTGCTCTGGCAAACCGGTACCAGAGCAGCACACGGAAACGCCGTTTACCTTCCCGCTATAAAGCGGTACCTATTTATCTACTTGCACTTAGAGGTGCTTTCGAACTGCTAGGTGGGCAGGAGCTGGGACCGAACGACAGGAGCTCACCCCGCTGCGGGGATTCGAACCGCCGACCTTACGATCAGCAAGTCCTAGGCACTGAGGTTTTACCCACAGCGCCACCCGCGTCCCTTGATGGGAACATAAAATGGTTCAAATATGGAAAAATCTATTCACTTTTTTTTTATTAATAGAATATGTTTGGAAAAATCTTGCTTCTTTTCCGCTGTGCTGCTGCAGCATGCTGTGCTGCTGTAGATAAGAGCAAGAAAATAAAAGATAACTGATTCCAGGGATAATTCTGAATTACTAGAGCCAGCCATAGAAACATGCTGGCATCTCTCTCATTTGAGTGGGGGCTTAGGAAAGCCCTGTGCAGGAGCAATATGAGAGAGAGAAAGAGACGAGCTTACTTGCATTGGGCATCTATCTACTGCCATTATTTCATCTATGGTCCTGTGGGTATGTTATTCCCCTAGCTTTCTACAAAACTCCTCTATAATCTGGACGACATGTGAGGTAAAAGTCTAGGTTCTTCTAGAGTTCAGGATGAGCCCCTTCAAATTTCATTTCTTGACTAGCAAAAGTGATTGTTCTTTCATACTAGGCTATTTTGCAAGAAGAGATCTCCCAGAAGAAAACAGAAGTTGCAGAAAAAGCACAGAAGCTGGTAAGTGGAGCTCAGTGGGGAGCTGGAATGGTAGTCTCGAAGAAATACCAGCATATATTGATCTCCAATAGCTATATTTGATATGGGAATCCTTAGTTTTAAAACAGTCTTAAGAAATGCCTGTCACTGAAATTTTCATTCGAGAGGTTTTTGTTATTGGTTACCATCAGCAACGTACGACAACAAATTTGCTGAAAAATGGAGTAAATTCTGTCCTAAGCATTTACAAATTTTCATTCCCCCCCCAAAAAAAATATTCATGTGATGCTTGTGATAGAGCAGTAAAAACAACAAACCTATGGTTACGTGAAACATACTCAATAAACACACAAGACGTAATTGGCTGTACTTTTGAATAAATAAAGTATACTATTCATTGTATCAAATTAATTTCAACGGAAGTCTCATAAAGTTCAACGAAAAAAGCAGAAGACCCAGTGGATCAGTTCATTCTCTAATCAGTTCATGCATAAGGTCCATACATGTATAAGTGTCTATTCCACATGTCTGTTCCTGGAGTCCAATAATCCATCAAGCCCACATCATTTACCTTTTCTTCATCTAGAAATTTTTGTGGATGAATCAAGAATTAAAGTGCGTCCTCATAAGAAAAGCACAGATAGAAATTCTTTGTTAGAGAATGAACTGATCCACTGGGTCGTCTACTTTTTTCGTTGAACTTTGAGACTTCCGTTGAAACTTACAATTTGATACAATGAATAGTATACTTTATTTATTCAAAAGTACAGCCAGTTGTGTGTTTATTGTGATAGGGCAGTAGCATGGCTCACCCCCCAGACAAAGCGTAGCAGCAAAGAGGAATTTCTGTGTTTGGCATTAAGCCACATATTTCTTCTCTACACAATATGCTCTCAGCATTCCACAAGTCCTGAAATATCTCATGGTTTTGGTTTCTACTTTCGTTCTTCTGAGTGACCCAGGTTCACATGAGGTAGTTTTGTGCCTGATTTATAGCAGCAGCCTTTTTAATCTAGGAGGTTATATTTTAAACTAGCATGTGATCATGGACACTGCAATGCCAATACCTTTTATTAGTTTGTTTACGTTGGTAAACTCTATTCAGCTGTTTACAATTCTTTATAGTGTTGAATAGTGTCTCCTCTACTTTAAGGCAGAATTACCTGCATGCTGCTCTTTGTAGAACAGGTTCCAAAGTTTGGAAATTCAGAAATGGCTGCATGTTGCGCTCCTTGTGCTGTGCACGGAAATGAAAGCCTTGACTACTTTAATCAAGTGAAATGGCTTTGTTTTGTTTTGAAAGCAAAAAAAGTCTAATTGTCACTAACTTCAGTCCAGTAAAAGATGTGCTTCAAAACAGTTGTTCAATATCTAATTTAAACCTGTGGTAACATTAAGAATATTTATATTCTTTGTTAATTAGAATGAGCAAAAACTAACCCTATGTAATCTAAAAGAAGAACAAAAACAACTAAAGTCCAAAATCGCAGATGATCCAGAGGAGCTGGCTACTCGTAAAGAACAACTCCAGCAGACACTGCAAAAACTCAAGAAAGACAAAGTGAGTCATCTTTTTCCCCTTTGTATTTTATATATCAGCAGCAATTAAACCTGCTGGACAAGTGAGCAAAAACAACTTTCCTCTTGCTTGTTGTGTGCTTCACATGCAGAAAATCTTCCTTTTCTGCCTTATGATTGCTTATCTGTATGATTGCATCAGAGGAGGAATTGAATGCTTTTTCTGCACCCTTCAGAAAAAGTATAATAGAATATCTACCTAGAATATCTAGAATGCTGATGTGTTTTAATAGCTTATTGCCGTTTTAATTTTTTGAATCTTTTAATGGCGTTTGCTAATAATTTCATTATATTCTTTTCCCTTTTATATATAAATTTTATTAAATAAATAATAAATGCATACAAATCCTTCAGAAAATTTTGCTAAGTTCTTGAAAGTGGCCAGGTATGGTAGGTTTTCTGAAAAATGTTGCTATACAAAGTGCATGGGATGCTAAAATTCTGCTCAATTTTTCAAAAAAATTATAAAGCAAGAAGTGATTAAGAAGTATGAAAGTTACAGAGACCTGGTAGAAATCTTACCACCGTGCCAGCAGGAGATCCAGTTGTACCAGAAAAAAATGGAAACCCAAGTAGCCAATGTGGCTAAACTGTCAAATATAGTTGCAGAGGTATGTATTCCAAATTTCTCTCCCTTACATTTTAGCTGTGGAACTGTTGCTAAATCTATTTTTTTGGTATTAGCACAACTCTGAGGTTAATTCCTGGTAGGTTCCTGGTACCAAGATGGAGGACTGGATGGGGAAATGAGAAAAATAAGACCCATCATCTGGCAGTCCCTGTGTGTGTGCAGAGGAAGGGCAAAGTCAAAAAGGGGCTGTGGACTTAGGGCAATCTTTGCAGCACACAGCCATATATTTCTGACATAAGGAAATAAGGAGAACCTGCTGGGCCGGCAACCTTCTCACAGTGGCCAACCCTGTGCTTATGAAATGTCCTCAAGCAGAACCAGAGTGCAGCAGCGCTTTCCCGTCTTGCGCTTCTCTGGTATTCAGATGTAGATTGCAGGTTGCTTGCCGATCAGGAGGTCAGCAATTCGAATCCCCGCAACGGGGTGAGCTCCCGTTGCTCTGTCCCAGCTCCTGCAAACCTAGCAATTCGAAAGCATGCCAGTGCAAGTAGATAAATAGGTACCACTGTGGCGGGAAGGTAAACGGCGTTTCTGTATGCTCTGGTTTCCGTCACGATGTGCCGTTGCGCCAGAAGCGGTTTGGTCATGCTGGCCATATGATCCGGAAAGCTGTCTGCGGACAAACGCCGGCTCTCTCGGCCTAAAAGCAAGATGAATGCCGCAACCCCATAGTCGCCTTTGACTGGGCTTAAGTGTCCAGGGGTCCTTTACCTTTGCCTTATTCGGATGCCTTTGAGACTGGAGGTAGAACTTGGTCATTGTAGCTAGTAGCCATTGATAGTCTTGTCCTCTTTGATTTTGTCTTTTAAAGCCACCCAAGTTAGTGGCCATCACTACATATTGTGAGAGCAAATGTAGTTTTTATGAAGCGGTGTGAAAAAGTACTTCCTTTTGACTTTCTTGAATCTTTCAACATTCAGTTTAATTAATGCCCCCAGAATTCTAGTATTATGTCGGGATTCAACCTCAATCCATTGAACGCCATCCCTCCTCCAACCGCATCCAGAAACTCACATTGCCTGTGTGCCTGGTTCCAATTCAAATGAGAGGTTGAGCTGGGTATCATCTGCATACTGGTCCAGCCCATAATGGTCCCTCATCACCCTGTGACAAATGGGGTGCTTCGGGTTCTGTCCTGGGCCTGTTGTTGTACAACGTCTTTATAAACGACTTGGACAAAGGAATTATGCACATGGGGCCCTCATCAAATTTGCAGATGACACCAAACTGGGAGGGGTAGCTAATGCCGCAGAAGACCTTAACAGACTGGAGAACTAGGCCCAAACTAGCAAAATGAATTTCAATAGGGATAAAGCTTCTATAGTTAGGCAGGAAGAACCAGATGCACAAATGTAAGACAGGGGAGTAGTACATGTGAAAAGGATCTAGGGGTCTTAGACCACAAGCTTAACATGAGTCAACAATGTGATGTAGCAGCAAAAAAGGCTGGCGTTGTTACAGGCTGCATCAACAGAAGTATAGCGTCCAGATCGAGAGGAGCAAATTCCACTCTGTTCTTCCTTGATCAGACCACACCTAGAGTACTGTGTCCAGTTCTGGGCATCACAGTTTAAGAAGGATATTGACAAGCTGGAGCATGTGGAAAGGAAAGACGAAGATGATCAAGGCTCTGGAAATCCAGGCTTTTGAGTGACGGTTGAGGGAATTGGGTATGTTCAGCCTTGCATAATAGGAGATATGATAGCCATCTTCAAATATCTCAAGGCTGTCACATGGAAGATGGAAAAGGCTTGTTTTCCCCTGCTCCAGAGGGTAGGACCAGAACTAATGGGTTCAAGTTACAAGGAAGAAGAGTCCAACTAAACCTCAGGGAGAACTTCATGACAATAAGAGCTATTCAACAGTGGAACGGTCTGAGGAGGTTGTGGACTCCTTCCTTGCAGGTTTTAAAGCAGAGGTTGGACAGCCATCTTTCTTGGATGGTTTAGTTGAGATTCCTGCATTGCAGGGGGTTGGTCTAAATGACCCTTGAGTCCCCTTCCAACTCTATGATCAGAACGTCTACTTTAGCTAAGCTTATTACTATAGAGGCATTTTTCCTCTGCCTGAGAATAAGAAATGTTAATGTAATTGGGAACTAACAGTTCTATTGTGGCTCTCCACCAAAGTCAGTTTAGCTTGGGTTAATGTCTAAACTGGGGGAGAATTATTCCCCTCTTACCCCCAGCAAGACAAGAAACATTTCTGTGCAATGAACTGACCTATTTGCTGATTTGACCATAAATAGCTTGGCTTATATCTTAGCCAATCGGATGTGAGTGGGGACAGGTACGCTCTTTTCTAAAAAAACAAACAAATTCCAAACATAACTCAGTAGCTCAACAATACTGTGAAGTGACTCTATATAACCGCTGTTTGTATTTTTTGCATATCAGATCCGAACCCTAGAGGACCAGATAGAGAGCAACAAAAGTGAATTAAAGAATGCCAAGATGGAGGAAATAACCTTGAGGAGACTAGTGACTGTGAAGCGGGAGAAACTCACCACTGCTGAAATCAAACTTAAAAAGACATGTGAGGATATTGAACAGCGCAAGCAAGCAATAACTCAGTAAGAATGAGTTAATATTTCTGTTCTTATTTTGCTTGGTATCTTAAAACATCATCATACAGTTTCAAAATTTGCATTCTGACCAAAGCATACATGTTTATGACACCCTTTGGGAAGGGGTTCTGCTACTTCGTGAAGACAGTTTTGCTTCTGGCAGGTGGTTTGTCGCAATGCAAGTTGACTTTGAGCACAGTCCTCATTTAAGGCTTCTTTCTTTCATTCTCTTGTAAAAAAGCCACAAAGGCTCCCTCGAAAGTCCGTTTGCCTTTCATGAATCTTTCATAATTTTCTGCCTCTTCTGGTTATCAAGAATCTCGAGACCTGTAGGGAATTTTTGTGCTTGTTTCCGAAAGAGATGCAACACATCTCTTGTTCGTTGGTTTGTTTCTTCTCCCGGCTGCAGCAGATTCATATGGCAACACTTGCCGCATCACAGTTCCAATCCCCTCCAAGGAATTAGGACTTTGACGCAGTTTAGCTCCTGAGTTACTTAGAATGCAAGGCCCATTCTTATTTCTCCATCTCAGCCCTCAGGGCAGAAAGGGGATTGGAGGCTCAAGGTGAGCAGCAGGTCTTTGAGTAAATAAGCAAAAGTCTGTGGGACGTGGGCGGCAGTGTGGGTTAAACCACAGAGCCTAGGACTTGCCGATCAGAAGGTCGGCGGTTCGAATCCCCGCGACGGGGTGAGCTCCCTTTGCTCAGTCCCTGCTCCTGCCAACTTAGCAGTTTGAAATCATGTCAAAGTGCAAGTAGATAAATAGGTACCGCTCCGGTGGGAAGGTAAACAGCGTTTCCGTGCGCTGCTCTGGTTCGCCAGAATCGGCTTAGTCATGCTAGCCACATGACCTGGAAGCTGTACGCTGGCTCCCTTGGCCTATAGAGCGAGATGAGTGCCGCAACCCCAGAGTCGGTCACGACTGGACCTATGTACAGTGGCACCTCTGGTTAAATACTTAATTCGTTCCGGAGGTCCGTTCTTAACCTGAAACTGTTCTTAACCTGAAGCACCACTTTAACTAATGGGGCCTCCTGCTGCTGCCGCGCTGCTGGAGCACGATTTCTGTTCTCATCCTGAAGCATTATTTCTCAGTTAGCGGAGTCTGTAACCTGAAGCGTATGTAACCTGAAGCGTATGTAACCTGAGGTACCGCTGTAACTGGTAAATTTGGGCAGTAGTGACAGGGAGAGCTCATGGAGGGACGGAATAGGAGAAGCAAGAATAATCCTTAGAACTGCTCTCCTTTGGAAAAAGGAGCTTTTTTAAAAAGATAGCTATGATAAAAAAACAAGGTAGCTCTATTGCCATGCCAATAGACCTGAATTCAAGCAAAACTTCTCCCAAAGTTATTTTCAAAACTTCAGAAACAATTGACATCGTTAGTAAACTCAGCTATATGTTTCATATTCTAAAATCCTCATTCCACGGTATTTTTGTGTGAATAGAGTAATATTAATCTAGACCAGGGTTCCCCAAACTTGAGAAACTGCTCCAGCTGTTTTTGGACTACAACTCCCATCATTACTGCCTAATAGAACTAGGAATAATGGGAATTGTAGTCCCAAAACAGCTGGAGAACCAAGTCTGGGAAACTGGGCTAAACATTCACAAGTAGAGAAACCCAGTTCTGCTTTTGTCTTATTTCAAGATAAAGCATGAAAAAAAAACCAGATGTAGTGAATCGCCAGTATGTGAACTGACATTTGCTGCTAGTACAATTTTTATCTATGTGGTTTTATTTGCGATTAGTGCTACAATAACTAGTTAATTATTTTCTAGGTACTGCAACAAATTTCAGGAGAAGAGAGGAGCTGTCTGTGAGAAGTTAACAGCAACTCATGCAGAAATCAAGCAGCTCAAAAGTGCTATTCGGCAGCTAAATTACAATGCGGAGAAAGAGAAGTTGAAAGCTCAGGTGAGTGCAAAGATTAGACATGACGCCGACACATGCATAAGTGGAATAGGTCAAACTTCACAGAAGCCAAGTGGGTAATAATAATAATAATAATAATAATAATAATAATAATTTTATTATTTATACCCCGCCCATCTGGCTGGGCCTCCCCAGCCACTCGGGGTGGCTTCCAAAAAAATATTAAAATACTATAATACATCAAACATTAAAAGCTTCCCTAAACAGGGCTGCCTTCAGATGTCTTCTAAAAGTTTGGTAGTTGTTGTTCTCTTTGACATCTGGTGGGAGGGCGTTCCACAGGGCGGGTGCCACTACCGAGAAGGCCCTCTGCCTGGTTCCCTGTAACTTGGCTTCTTGCAGTGAGGGAACCGCCAGAAGGCCCTTGGAGCTGGACCTCAGTGTCCGGGTAGAACGATGGGGGTGGAGACGCTCCTTCAGGTATACTGGGCCGAGGCCATTTAGGGCTTTAAAGGTCAGCACCAACACTTTGAATTGTGCTTGGAAACGTACTGGGAGCCAATGTAGGTCATGCTGATGGGGCTTCTGCTGGTGAGAAGAGGTACACACTAGTACTTAACGTGCGTGGACCCAGAGAGGAACCCGTGGAACATTTTTATAGAGGTTTCTTTCTGCTTGAAATCAACACATCCTCCTACACACACAACACACATGCCAATGGCCCTGAACATATTTAGGTTCCCAATATAAAACATGTTCTCATTGCCTGTAAAGTTACAGGGAACCAGGCAGAGGGCCTTCTTGGTAGTGGCACCCGCCCTGTGGACTGCCTTCCGACCAGATGTCAAAGGAAAATAAAAACTGCCAGACGTTTAGAAGACATCTGAAGGCAGCCCTGTTTAGGGAAGCTTTTAATGTTTGACGCATTGTTGTATTTTAATATTTTGTTGGAAGCCGCCCAGATGGGCGGGGTATAAATAATAAATTATTGTTATTATTATTATTACTAATCCAAGATGGTAAAATGGTGGGTATGCTGGTAAAGCCTTTGCCAAGAAAAATGACCGAGTTATGCGCTTAAAATTTTGGGAAATATCATTGAAGCACTAGGACCCAGCTCAGAAAGCGTGGTGCAGTTTGTATAGAATTCCATAATAAAGGTGAAGGTAAAGGACCCCTGACAGTTAAGTCCCGTCGCGAACAACTCTGGGGTTGCAGTGCTCATCTCATTTACTGGCCAAGGGAGCCAACATTTGCCCTCAGTTTTTCCGGGTCATGTGGCCAGCATGACTAAGCCGCTTCTGGCGAAACCAGAGCAGCGCACGGAAACGCCGTTTACCTTCCTGCTGGAGTGGTACCTAGTTATCTACTTGCGCTGGCGTGCTTTCAAACTGCTAGGTTGACAGGAGCTGGGACCAAGCAATGGGAGCTCACCCTGTTGTGTAGATTCGAACCGCCGACCTTCCAATCGGCAAGCCCTAGGCTTAGTGGTTTAGACCACAGCGCCACCCGTGTCCCAGAATTCCATAATGGCCAGCAACAAAACACCGGCTGTCATTTATAGAGCTTCACTATGCATCATGTGATAAGTCATATAAAGTCCTCGAATGGATGTGGCAGAGATGAGATGAGGCTGCAGATGATACCTTTATATGTAATGCTTTGAAGACAGCGGTCCAGTTTTGTGCAGCTATGATGAGCTTAGCACATGTCAGAAGTATTCTGAGCTTTATAGATTATAGCAGAGGGATATTGACACCTATAGGTTTGTCCAGCATGTTTTTTCCTCGCTCGTAACAAGTAACTCTACCTATCTCTCCCCCACCCTGACCCCAAAAGGAGATTTGCCTTAGCTTGAGGGTTGGCTTGGATAAATACCATGAACTTCTGGCAAGTATAGTGGAAAAGACGACATCTGGAAGAGAAGAGAAGATCGCCGAGTTAACTAAACTGCTTTGAGTTCATATTTCTGCAACTGATTTGTACATATTTTGTTCTGTCTCGTTCATCTTTAAGGTTGTATTTCAGCTGCACGTGATCAATGGTAAAATAAGCATTCTTTTGGCCTTGATTGGCACAGGAGGGCAGCAAAACTAGACCTAGCTGTACCAACTAATAAATCCTGCTGGAGTGCTTTGTTCAGGCCATCTGTACTTTATTTCTGTTTGCTATTTCATTTTGTTCCTATGCTACAACCATTCTAGCATTTGCAGATCTTTAGTGGTAGGCTTGGTCTTCTCTAAGGAATGGCTGTGTTCGCAAACAAGCCATGTCCTTGACGTCAGAAAATGCAAGCTCCAGTTCATGTCAGTTTCTGCTAGTAAGCTTTGGAAGCTACCCACAACTTGAAAATAGAAGCATGTGATTTTGTCGCTACAACTGGGAACCATTGTTTTTTTAAAAAAATACATGTATGCAATAAAGCTTAATACACATGGAGATAATCAGTTTTCTTTATTACAGTACAGTAATCTGAAACCATTTCCCCCAATATTTTCTTGACACATGCACATGTTCACTATATCTGGTATAAGCCACGTCTTCCAAAGCAACTGCTCTACTCCAAACTTAAAAATGGAAAGTGTAATGCTGGTGGTCAACAAAAGAGATTTAAAGACTCTCAAGGCAAATCTTAAGAAATGTATAAACACTGACAATTGGGAAACACTGGCCCGCGAGCGCTCCAGTTGGAGAACAGCCTTTACCAAAGGTGTCGTGGACTTTGAAAACGCTCAAACTCCGAATGAAAGGGAGAAACATGCTAAGAGGAAGACATGCTTGGCAAACCCTCACCATGAACCTATGTCCTATGGAACCTATGGAAACCTATGTCCCCACTGTGGAAGGACGTGTGGATCCAGAATTTGCCTCCTTGGTCACTTATGGACTCACTGTTAAGACTGCGTTCATGGAAGACAATCTTACTCAGCTACGAGTGATCGCCAAAGAAGAAAAAAGCTGAGGTGGAGGAGGGCTTGCCTGCATGAGGCAACGGGTGTGCCTTCCCACTGTTCGGAGGACACTGTTCGCTGCTTTGGGGAGAGATGGATTAGGCAGCACACTTTCACAGCATTGACATGTAACACAGGGATGGGGTTGGGGGAATATAGGAGAGGGGGTTGCGGTGGTTATCCTATTAGGCTTGTGTTCCCCCTTACCTGTGTAGAGTGCTCTGTCCTAGCATTCCCAGGGGTTTGGGTGTGTTGGAGTCGACAAACGAGGTACCTGTTAGGATTCTAGGTTTCTCTCTGTGTTGTGACTGAGATCAGGCTATTCTGTGCAAGCTGTCCTTTCCCCAGACTGCTTTCTCCCCAACCTTTTCCTTTGTTGTTGTTTAGTCGTGTCCGACTCTTTGTGACCCCATGGACCAGAGCATGCCAGGCACTCCTGTCTTCCACTGCCTCCCACAGCTTGGTCAAACTCATGCTGGTAGCTTCAAGAACACTGTCCAACCATCTCGTCCTCTGTTGTCCCCTTCTCCTTGTGCCCGCCATCTTTCCCAACATCAGGATCTTTTCCAGGGAATCTTCTCTTCTCATGAGGTGGCCAAAGTATTGGAGCCTCAGCTTCACGATCTGTCCTTCCAGTGAGCACTCAGGGCTGATTTCCTTCAGAATGGATAGGTTTGATCTTGCAGTCCATGGGACTCTCAAGAGTCTCCTCCAGCACCATAGTTCAAAAGCATCAATTCTTCGGCAATCAGCCTTCTTTATGGCCCAGCTCTCACTTCCATACATCACTACTTGGAAAACCATAGCTTTAACTATGAGGCCTTTTTCTATTGATGTAGAAAAATAGGGGTGTTCGGCTTTTGCTGACCAACTCCCCATGGGACACAGAGTCCCCTAAGTCCATGATTGGTCAGAGAGGATAGGATGGAGGCAGGATGCAGCGAAAGCAAGGCAGGTCTTTGTTTTTCTGTTGCAACAGAGTTTCCTCCCCACCTTGCAAGGAGGCAAAAGGGACCCAGAACCAAGAAGAAACATCTCTTTGAAGGGTTTGCCTTATGGCATGGAGAAGGAGGACTTCCCCTCTATGAACAGTCAGAAATTACATCCCACCTAAGGTGGAGTGGCTGTGGCTCAGGTAGGCTGAGGTGTGATATTCCTGAGGACTTAGCAAATTTCATATAGTTCCAGACACAGTTTACACAAAACATTAGCGTTTGATAAGACAATCGGGATCCCCCTCAGACATCCCTCAATGCAGAGCATCTGGGCAAACAATAATTAATACCAAGGAAGTTCGTAGATATAGGAGAGGAATCCTTTCAGGAACTCCCCCTGACTGCTATCTGCCTGTGTGTTCTCAGGCAAGGGGGATTAAGGAGGCAGAGGAAAGAAAAACCAAGATGGCTTTTGGGTTGCTCTCCTGCACTATTTTAGACATGTGGGTTATATACGTGTGTTTACCTTGTGAAATTATCAACATTTATTCTATATTTGAGACCTTAGAATTCCTGTAACACCATAAAAGGGAGCCCAAGTCCCTCATCTGCGAGAGAGAGGCTGATGTAAGATTACTGTGATGCGTGTTTGTGGAGTGCATGTACCGTATTTTTCGCCCCATAGGACACACTGGCCCATAAGATGCAACTAGTTTTTTGGGGGGGGGAATAAAGGGGGGGGATTATTTTTTCCCCCCAGGTGCGGGGCAGGGTGCGCACCGACCCCTCTCGCTCTCCAGGCTTCAGCGAAAGCCTGCATTCACCCCATAGGACGCACACACATTTCCTCTTCATTTTTGGAGGGGAAAAAGTGCGTCCCATAGGGCGAAAAATACGGTAATTCACAGAAAATGCTATGTGTAAAGGTAAAGGGACCCCTTGGATCTAGAAGGTTTTAACAATGTATTTGGTTGGCATGCATATCTGTGGTATGATAAGGTCAAAGCACATAAAGCATTTAAAAACCATATTGTCAGGAAAGCATTGTTTAATGTTTGGATAAGATACAAGGATTTATTGGAAAATAAAACCCCAAGGTGTCTGTCACCGATGGAAGCGAAAGCTCTGAAAAAGCTCAATATGGAGGTCAAATGGCCGAAATATTGGGAAATTTTGGAACAAGATGGAGATAGATTGAAACTGCAGAGTTTTGAAAAACTAAAACAAAGTGCGAGACTGGCTTCATTATTATCAGATAATGGAGGCATACAATTTGGACAAGAAAATCGGCTTCCAGGTGGAAAAATCAAAATTAGAAACAGAATTGTTAGAACCCAAAACTAAGATTTTGTCAAAGATGTATAACTTGCTGTTGAAATGGAATACTCAGGATGAAACGGTGAAATCTGCTATGATTAAATGGGCACAAGACGTTGGACATAACATAATGATGGCTGACTGGGAACAGTTGTGGGCCACAGGTATGAAGTTTACGGCATGTAATGCCTTAAGAGAGAATATTATGAAAATGATATACAGGTGGTACATAACCCCAGTCAAGCTTGCAAAAATCTATCATTTGCCCAACAACAAATGTTGGAAGTGTAAAGAAATTGAAGGTACATTTTTTCACCTTTGATGGACGTGCCCAAGGATTAAGGCTTTCTGGGAAATGATATATAATGAACTGAAAAACGTATTTAAATATACCTTCTTGAAGAAACCAGAGGCCTTTCTCCTGGGCATAGTCGGCCAATCGGTGTTAAAGAAGGATAGAACCTTTTTTTTGTATGCCACAACAGCAGCAAGAATACTTATTGCAAAGCATTGGAAGACACCAGATCTACCCACACTGGAGGAATGGCAGATGAAAATGATGGACTACATGGAATTGGCGGAAATGACTGGCAGAATCCGAGACCAGGGAGAAGAGTCGGTGGAAGAAGATTGGAAGAAATTTAAAGACTACTTACAGAAATATTGTAAAATTAATGAATGTTAGAATGATGTTGGATTGAAGTTAAGTGGTTTCTAGCTGTAATGGTATAAAGAATATGGAAAAATTGGTTTTTAATACGTAAAAATTTAATGTTATAATATATCAAGATTAAAGATCAGGATTAAAAAGGAGGGAAAGGAATTGCTGGATTAACAAATTGAATTGGAATACAAAAGAGGGAGGTATGAGGAGGTCCGGGAAACAAGTAAATATAAGAGAAGTGATGAAAAGATGGAATTGTTTTTAACTGTTTTTTCTTTTTTGTACTTTGTATTTTTCCTTTTTTATTGTTATTTTTCTTATTAATGTAATCTTTTTCTTTTGAAATTTTAATAAATATCATTAAAAAAAAAAAAAAGGTAAAGGGACCCCTGACCATTAGGTCCAGTCGCGGACGACTCTGGGGTTGCGGTGCTCATCTCGCTTTACTGGCCGAGAGAGCTTCCAGGTCATGTGGCCAGCATGACTAAGCCGCTTCTGGCAAACCAGAGCAGTGAACGGAAATCCTGTTTACCTTCCTGCCAGAGTGGTACCTATTTATCTACTTGAACTTTGACGTGCTTTTGAACTGCTAGGTTGGTAGGAGTAGGGACCAAGCAATGGGAGCTCACCCTGTCGTGGGGATTCGAACCACCAACCTTCTGATTGGCAAGCCCTCGGCTCTGTGGTTTAGACCACAGCGCCACTATGTAGATGCTATATATTATTTCTTCTAAATCTATTTAGTGGTGAACATAGAATTTGGATCTTGGAAGTAATTTATTGCTGTGGGATAGGTCACTTGTGCTACTAAGAACGTTGCATTATCATTATATTTTGTTGGGAGGCCCAAGTTTTTATGTTTGTGATATCCCAACTCCCTTTGCATTCTCTAGAATAGATAGAATAAGGAAGTGTCCCTGTACAAATAAGTTCCATGTGTGTCCACTGGGTGACACTGTTGCACCCTGAAATTTATATTCGGCAAGAGCTGAACAAATCTTTATTTCCACCCTCCAGGACAAAGGTGAATCCTCTTGCCAGCTCCTCAAAAGGAAGCTTTGAACACCGCTAGACCTGCACGTCACCATGATTGCTCCAAAAAGCCTGCATGCTTCCGTTGCCCATTTATATGCTCTTGCGGGTGATCCAGAGGGGTTTAGTCAAAATGCCTGTGACCAATTTCTTAAATTAACATGCAGAAGCAGAGCAAAAAGTATGCTGGGTTATAGTTGATGCAAACTTTGAATTGCTACCTGGGTTTTCTTAAACTGAAAAAAGAGTCCTGAGTTTGGGGTGCGGTGAGGATAAAGAGGGCAAGAGACAAACAGCCTTGGGGTGTTATGTGGTCTCGGCGGCCGCCCCCAGTCACCAGTCTAGCTGCCTCATTCTGGATTAGCTGTAGTTTCCAGGTCACCTTCAAAGGTAGCCCCACGTAGAGCGCATTGCAGTTGTCCAAGCGGGAGATAACTAGAGCATGCACCACTTTGACGAGACGGTCTGCGGGCTCTTTATATTCCCATATAAATAGATTTTTCTGAATATCGAGATTCCCACCCCCCCCCAGGGGTCCT